AGATTTTGATGAAATTTGGTATGGTGATAGCTGGTTATCCGGGTCAACATATATGATACTTTTTACCGCGGGAAAATATCTCATTTCTGAGAAAAAATACAAAAACTGTAATGTAAGAGTATACTAATATGTAAAACCTAAGAATTTGGTTCTTGGTCATCTGAACAAGGGCGGAGCCGCGGGGAATGCTAGTTAAAAATAAAATAGGGCGGATCTAAGGCGCCAACTAGTGCGTCATGAAAAAATATTTCATCCGAATCAATTGAGTAGGGTATCCAATTACAGGTTTTTAAGACGCGATTAAAATATGTATAATATGCTTAAACATACTTTAAGATAAGAAGCTCTATTAGGTAATGTAATATATATTAGTATTGTTATCACCAGGGTTCGAAATGATAATTATCATGATAAATATACCCATATTATATATATAATAATTATCTTTGATAAATATAATTGAAAATATTTAATTTGTAACTCTTCAAATTGTCGATCAGCAAACTGAACTCTCCCAATTAGCTCAAAAAACTCAATCAGCAAACTGAGTTAACGTAGTTGAGGAGGATGGGGATGATATTCCACTCATTAATTTCACTTGATTGTTAAAAGTGTATAATTTATCCTAACGTAAATTATGATAGGCCAATAGTCAAATACCAATCCCTTCACAAGGATGGCTAAGTTTATATGTGTTTGATAATTATCGGATAATTATCAAAAGATATATTTATCTTGATAATTTCATACCCTGGTTGTCACAAATAAATAATCAAATTGCAGGCGAGCGCCTGGGCCTGATGCAGTCCGTGGCGGGGCTGGCGGCCGTGCTGTCACGCTACAGCGTGCGGCCCGCGCCGCGCTCATGCCGCCGCCCGCGCGTCCACCCCGGCGCCGGCATCGTGCAGGCCGTGCGAGGCGGACTGCCGCTGCTCTTCACCGAGAGGACTTAAGGCTAACCCCTTGTCAACATGTGAATGTACTACCGTTAGCCTTTGGAAGTCTTATTATAGATAAAGAAACGATCTCTTAATAAATATTTTCTACCAAAATGTTCATATTTTTTCTCCGTGCCCAAACAAATCATATCTTACTACGTATCTACATACAACATGCATTCTCTAGGAAGTCGATTAAACTGCTTAAGCACTTAAAGAGGCTAAGCATGAACGGTATTAGTGATTGACTTAGCAGAAAGAGCCCTACTTGGTTACTTCCTCAGACTTAATAGATAGACATTACTGATAACGACGACTAAACATGTTAGTACATAATATAAAAAATCAGTAACACTATATAACTAATAGCTTAGATATGTAAACTACAACCTATAGGTACAGAGTACAGACCTATAATAAAACTAGCGACGTACCTTCGCTTTTTAATTTTTTTGAGCAGAACCATAATTCTTTTTCTAAAAGTAACCTAGATTACTTCTTATAACATCAACTATCTGGCAGTGAAAGTCCCGTCAAAATCAGTACAGCCGTTTCGGAGATTAGCCGGAACAAACAGACATCGCGTCGGAGAACCGATAAAATAAAAAGTAGCTAGTGTTAGCAGTCCGCCGACACGGCGACGCTCATCATCAAAATATTAATAGGTACTTTTAATGAAGTTAAAAGGCCAAGAGAGTTGCATTAGTGCAATTTTTAAAAAAGTTGAAAAAATAACGTGTTACTTTTTTGTATTACAGTGAAAGTTGAGTAGAAAATGACTATTCGTCAATTCTCAAAAATTTTGATTAAATATCTAATCTAATATATTTAAACGAGCAATTCTTGTATATATGTATATATATCAATATATAATCTGAATCTCGGAAACAGCTCCAACGATATTCATGAAATTTAGTATACATAGGGTTTCGAGGGCGATAAATCGATCTAGATTAGTCTTATGTCTGGGAAAACGCGTGTTTTCGAATTCTCATGCGATTTTCTTTTGCATTTTCACAATTTTTGCATTGTCAGTTATCACTTCTGGTAGGTGGGAGGCGCCACTGTGCAACTGTCTACACCATCGTGTCCGTATTTAAATCAAGTTTAAAAATATTATAGTGGAAATAATATATATAATAGTTATTAATAAATATGCAACAAGAAATAAGACAGCATAAAACAGAAATGTTAGAAATGAAAGAAGACATTAAAAATACAATCAACAATAATATACATAAATGATAAATTTAAACACTTAGAAATAAAAAATGAAGTTCTTGAGAAACAAATCCAGGAACATAGTATCTCAATAAATAATTTAGAAAGACATACTAGGCGCGAGAACTTGGTTATGTTCGGAGTAGAAGAAGGTGAAAAATCCTATCATGAACTAGAGGAAAAAATAATAAAAATAATAAATACAAATTTCAACGTTCAGTACGACAGCAATAATATTGAAGCTGTTAAAAGAATAGGGAAAAAAAGGTGTGGAGGTTAGAACAATCATAATATCATTTAGTACAATAGGCCTGAAACTAAAAATTCAGAAAAATGGCAATTGTTTATGTGGCACTCAATATTTACATTAAGGAGGACTACCCAATAGAAGTCTTAAACAAACGCAAGGAGTTACAAGCCCAACTAAAGATAGAAAAAGACCTAGGCAAAACAGCTTTCATTAAATATGACAAACTAATTGTTGTGGATAATAATAAGAACACTTCTCGCCAATACTCAAATAAAAGAAGTTGCCTGTATCTCCAGAAACGCCTTACCTCAATAATAAACAGAAACTAACAAATAAACGACATACAAAGAAAACCAAACCTTCTTATATTAAAGACTTTATATTACAAAAACCAAAATTAACTTTCAACCACACAAATGATAACCAGGAACAAGTAAAAACAACACAGCAAGATACAGTATAGTAAACACAGTAGGAACCTCCTCATCTTTATCCCCCAGTACGGCCAGTCACCGTGGGGGAGTTCACCGTACAATGAACGAAGGTATACATATCTTCACCAGAAAAACTTCTGGAATTAAAAGCAGCATTTCCTACAACAAATCAAAAGAACACAAAGATAAAATTATAAACTTTAAAGGCATATAAGAAACAAATCATATATTAGAAACAAAATATGAAAAGAAACCCTTTGCAATCATACAAGCATAATATCCTACGGAGAGCTCTATGCAGGACTACTTTGGAGGAGGCTTTTACCCAAGAGGGGTCTATACATGAAACCTAATAGGAAATTCACAAAAGACATTTACTAATAAATACATTTAATTATATAATTAAATACCTAATTTATAACTATTGTCAGAATGAATGTATGGAAAGAAATTTTATTTATATTTATTATTGTGAAATGTTTAGTATTTATTTAAATGAATTATTTAATTTATTGTGATTGTTTATTTATTTATATGTTAATGATAATTTATATATATTAATCAATTAAGTAATTGCTCATAAGCTAACAACAAGTTAAATGTAACTAAATAGGTTATCACAACATACAATATCATTTCAAATAATATTAAAGATTTTTAATATAATTTAATTCCAGATTACAAAATTATTTGTTAAAAAATGATAAGTTAATAAATAGTCACTAACCAAAAATTGAAGTTAAATTAAATATAATCAAATAAGTTATAAATATGATCTGTTAAAATTTAAAAATTATTAAGAGTAATTATAATTTAAAATTATAAGTAAGCATGTATAGAATAAATAAAGCTTTATTATTATTATTTCTTTTGTATTATTCCTCGAATTAATTTCGCACGCTCGTATATAAGCATCGTGTTCAAGCGGCCAATGTGCAAGATCAACAATCTTAGGTGTCCGGGTTCGAATCCCGGTCGGATACAAAGGTATAATTTTTTTTGTTTTTTTTTTTAAAGAAAATTGTACTTTTTAACCAAAAACTCCGAACAAAGCTCGGCGGCCCAGGTACTTTATTATAATACTAGCATTGCACGCGGCTCCGCCCGTGTTCAGATGACCAAAAAGCAAACTTAGGTTTTACATATTACAATTTACTCTTACAATGCGGTTTTTGCGTTTTTTCTCCGAAATTAGATATTTTCCCGCGGTAAAAAGTATCCTATATGTTGACCCGGATAACCAGCTATCACCATACCAAATTTAATCATAATCCCTCCAGTGGTTTTTCTGTAATGCGGTAACAGACAGACAGACAAAAATTCTAAAGACTATAGATTCGGCCTCTGTATCGATAATTATGTCTATTTCAATAAGATTTTCCAAAAAATATTTAATGTACAGATTCGGCTTAGTTACAATTTCATGATATGTATAGATTTTAAAATCAGTGGGCCACCTCAAAATTTTGAGTCATTTATTTTTTTATATAAAAAAAAAAAAAAATTATATAAATATTTTTTTTATAAGCTACAAATTCTACTCCCAAAATAAATATCGAAAAAAATGTAAATATCGAAAAAAATATACACAAATATATTATAATTATTTATTTATAAACAATTTAGGATAATTAATGAATACAAATTATAATGTTACCTCTATCGCTATACTTATCGTTAGTTACCTGCTCACATCTATCTGATCTCTCATGACTGTTATGTTATGGTTACAACCGATAGTTGATAGCACGTGCCGCGGACAAACATTACAACATAGTTTCACATACATACTTGTATAAAAATGTAAGTATTTATTTCTATTTTCGATATAGCTACTTATTTGAGTTAGTCATCAGACTTGCAAAAAAATGTTGTTTTATCCGGAACTGCTGAAATGCGGAGATCGAACTTCGCACCCTGGCCGGGGATGCAAAGTAAAGAAAGAAAAGGAATGCTCGTCTTAGTGCATGAGGATTTCTTAACCAGCTCGTATCAGAACGAAGTGATGGAAGACGGGACGCTACAGATGTTATTAATGTCAAAATGACTTAAGATTTTTGAAATAATTTTAGATGGCGCATGGACTAAAGATATTTTATTTAAAAATGAAGAGTTAAAAGGTAAAACAGATGAACATGATAGTTTCGTGTGTGTCTACGCGGAGAGGTCCCCGTGGTCGAACAGGTCCTGGTCGTAGAGCGCGGCGCGCACGGTGCGGCCGCCGAAGTAGCGGCCGTGCAGCGCCGCCGCCGCCGCGCCCGCCTGCTCCGCCGTCGCGAACTGCACGAACACCTTCACGCTGGCCAGCGCCGGGTCGTCCTCCTCGCTCTGCCGCTCGTTGTAGATCACGAGGCGCTCCACGCGGCCCCACTTGGAGCACTCCTCCTGGATCTCGTGGTGCAGCGCCTCGTCCACCTCGTGCGCCGCCACCATGTTGCGCAGCAGCAGCGTGCGCGACGCGCGCCGCCGCATCAGCCGCTGCATCACCAGGTGGCGCGCCGACTGCCCCGAGATGGACAGCGACTCCTGCTGCTGCAGCGTGTCCGGCGAGCTGTCCAGCAGCTTGCGCTGCAGCGCCGCCTGCTGGCCGCCGCCCTCCTCCGCCGGCACGCCCGGCGCGGGCGCCGCGGCCGGCGGCGGCGGGATCACCACGCCGGGCGGCGGGATGGCGGCGGGGAGCGCGGGGAGCGCGGCGGGCAACGCCGGGGCGGCGGGGAGCGCGGGGAGCGCGGGCAGCGCCGGCATGGCGGGCAGCACGGCGGCGAGCGTGGGCAGCGCGGCCGCGGGCGGCACGCCGAGCGCGGTGAGCTTGGTAAGGCCGAGCGCCACGGCGTTGGTGGCGACGGCGTCCATGGCCTGTATCTTGGCGGTGGCGGCGGCGGCGGCGACGGCGGCGGCGGTGGGCATGGCGGAGGCCTGCGGCGGGCCCGCCAGCGCGTTGGGCGGCGTGATGGCGCGGCCCACGCGCAGGTACTGGCCGCCGAGGTCGAACAGGTTCATGGACGCGATGGCCTCGAGCGCGGCCGGCAGCGTGGCGTACTCGATGAACCCGTAGCCCTTGTGCTTGTGCGCCGACGCGCCGTACGCCAGCTTGCAGTACGTGATGGGGCCGAACGCCTCGAACACGCTGCCATTACGACGAAAGTTAAATTAATTAAATTTCAACCTTTAATGTAAGTGAAAGGTGGCGAATGAGCTCACTTTTTAATGTCGTCCTCGGTGAGCTCGGGGTGTATGGAGGCCACGTAGATGCGGTTATACTGCTTGGCCTCCTCCTGTATCTCGTCGATGACGGCCTGCGCCTGCGGCATGTTGGAAGGACGCCCCACCACCTTGATGTTTCTGTAGCATACAAACATTCCCATTAGTACCAATAAATATAATATAGATTTACAAAAACGAACTTTATTTATTACAAGCTGACCTAATGATACATGTTGTGGAGGTTTTAAGTAGAATATAAACAAAAATTAGAAAAAAAAATAAAAACAATACTTTTTTTGGCATCTAAATGTAGGTAATAGGTATATATTATGTCGAATACAAAATATAAATTTTATAATTTAAAAACGTCTAATACAGTAGTGAGCGTTACCTGCCGCCGAGCATGACGCCGTTCATCTGCTCGAGGCTGAGCTGCGCCGCCTCGGGGATCTCGTACTCCACGAAGGCGAAACCCTTGTGCTTCTGCGTGACCGGGTCCCACGACATGTTGATGGACTTGATGGGCCCGAACGGCAGGAAGGCCTGGCGGATCGTGTCCTCCTTCAGCTCGAATGAGATCGAGCCCACGTACACCCTGCCGACCACAACGTATCACACACGTGCGCATACTAATAGCTTTGTGCAGGAAAAATACTGTAACTCAGATCTTTTCAGCTACTAAATATCATGGACTCGACCAGCCAAAGCGGGAATCTCCAGCCATCGCTCTCATCACGCTCCCAATTATATAATTCAATCAAAGCTGAAGAGTTGTGGGTGTATTAGTGATTCCTGCTTTATAAATATACATACGTTCAACCTGATGCTACAAAAAGTAATGTAAATGAGCGTATGTATAATGTATATGTGTGTATGTGTACCTGCACATGAGCGCGAGCGCCTGCTGGCGCTGCACCTGCGTGCGCTGCGTGGCCATCTGCTGCTGCTGGTGCGCCAGCGTCTGCTTCATCAGCACCATCTTGATGCTCTGCTCCATGGCGTACTTCTTGGCGCGCGCCACCGCCTCCGCCTGCTCCGACGACAGCCGCGGCAGCGTGCCGCCCAGGATGGCGGGCAGCGTGGAGCACTTGCCACCCGGCCCTGCGACACGCTCACGTCACACTCCGCACACACACACACAGTACACGGTACAGTACAGCGTACACTCACCCGTGAACACGTCGCCCACTTGCTGTAGGTCGTAGACGGGCGCGGCGAGGAAGGCGCCTGCAAGCAACGAGAGCGTGAGCGCGGCGCGGCGACACGTCCGCGCTCGCACTCGCCGACACACTCCGCCGCGGCTCCTCGCACATTCGCGCACATTCTCGCTCTCTAACCTTTCTCACCTTCAAACGTATTCTCTCGCACGCACTTTGCTATATTTACACTTTTTCGTTACATTCAAATAACCTGTTCATGTTATTATTAATATTAACATCGTAATGTTGCGAACATTTTAGTCCGAAAATTAATTGTAAATAGTAAATTAAGACTGCTTTCTCCTGTCATTCTGTTATAATTTTATTATATATACAAGCATTACTAAATTTTGAAATATCATCATTATACATTCATCCATGTTTGCAAGTGAAGATACGGATGAGAAGCCGCAGCACGCTCACAGACAGTCACCGGGCACGCGCGACAACACTATATAATGAAGTAAGTACATTGTGAGACCGATGCCGGCCGCAGGCGGGCGCCGCGCCGCCGCCGCGCGCTCGCCCTAGCCTTTAGCAATAACCTAACTTATATCTAGTCTGAAACAGAAAGCAGAACACTGATCACTGCGGGCGAGACGACACGAGAGAGGGACGACGCGAGGCTCGCGCACGCGCGGGCCGAGAGCCGCGCCGCCGCCGCCGCCGCCGCCGCGCCTGCAACAGCGAGCACAGCCGGGGCGTTAGACTGCTGCACTGAGACTCACTCGCCGCGCTCACCCTACTCACCGCTAGTAGCGCACACCGAGCCGCCCACGCCCACTCCACCCACTCCCACGCCCACGCTCACACCGCCAACACTAGCCAGGCCTACACCCACGCCGGACATCGTGCCGTCACCACCCTGCAACTGAGTTTCACATACATTATAAACAAAATACTACAAAACTACCTTACCAATAAAATATACCAATGCGTCTTTGAAAAGCATATTATATTAAATGAACTACTTTACAATATGAGCATTTTATAAATGTCATTTTATGTACATGTAACATCCATACTAATATTATAAACGTCAAAGTATGTTTGTTTGTTTGTCTTTCTTTCGCGTCAAAACCACCTTATCATCTATATATTGGACTAGAGACTTATTTTCGCTTTGCTGGGGTGTGCCCCTAGTATGTTTTCATTTTTTTGAACAGAACCCTAATCCTTTTTCTAAAATAAAAGTAGCCTAAAGTTACTCCTTATAACATCAGTTATATGCCAGTGTAAATTCCGTCAACATCAGTCTAGCCGTTTTGGAGGTTAGCCAGAACAAATACACAGGCAGGCAGACAGACAGATAATTTTAAAAAAATCTAATCTAATCTATTTCTTCATTAGATTTTTATCAATAATTACTAGCACTTATGGAGTTAATTCATTAAAGCATTTATTTACATAACTTATAAGTTATTACATAAACTCAAAAACTTTGACTCATTCCCTTACTAAATGGGTTTTTTATTGCCTGCTGTATAAAGTCCATGTTGTATATTTTTTTCTAACTAGATATTTTTTTATCTATACATATAATAAAATTGTAACTGAGTCGAATCAGTACATTAAATATATTTGGAAAATCTTATTGAAATAGACATTATTATCATCAATACAGAGGCCGAATCTATAGTTTTTAGAATTTTGCCTGTCTGTCTGTTACTGCATCACGAGAAAACAACTGGACAGAGTTTGATGCAATTTAGTACGATGATAGCTGGTTATCCGGGTCAACATGTAGGATACTTTTTACTGCGGGAAAATATCTCATTTCTGAGAAAAAATACAAAAACTGCACTGTAAGAGACTAATATGTAAAACCTAAGAATTTGGTTTTTGGTCATCTGAACGCGGGCACGGGCAATGCTAGTTTCATTATATACCTATAATATGGCATTTAAGAAGTGTTTATTATATATATTTTTTCAAAATTAGTTTTACTATTCCTTATATGTATTTTCAGAAAAAAATATGCTTTAAAGTCTTTAAGAGACAGATCACTGATTAATTTATTAAGGAGTACACTTTATCAATCACATACATATATATATCCAAAGATAATGTGATTGTAACTCCATTTCATACAAGTTTGTTTCTCAATATGAAGAGCAAGAGTTGCAAATACCACTTTAAACTATAATGTGCATTTTACATTACCTCGCTATAAATTAAATAATTTTTACATTATCACAATGTGTTAAAAAATTACTAACTATCCATAAATAGGGTACTGAAAAATGCATGTATTGTATTCAGCCGTTTTTTAATGTCCCACTGCTACTGGGCACTGGCCTACCTTCAATGAGAGGGGTATCAAGCCTTAATACACAATACTGGCCAAGAGCTGCAATAGTTGGTGGACTTTGAATGTCTTTCAAAAATTATTCAGGTTCTCTCAGACATGCAGGTTTCATCAGAATGTTTTCCTTTTCAATTGCTTATGATGCAGTTATTGTATTTTTTCTCACAAATGAGACATTTTCCCGTGGTAAAAAGTATCCTGTATGTTGACCTGGATAACCAGCTATCATCATACTCCCTCCAGTGGTTTTCTGTGATGCAGTAACAGACAGACAAAAATACTAAAAACTATAAATTCGGCCTCTGTATCAATAATACATAATGTCTATTTCAATAAGATTTTCCAAAAAATATTAAATGTACAGATTCAACTTACTCAGTTACCATTTTATTATATGTATAGATAAAATTACAAAAATATATAAGTAAATTATACTTTTAGTTGACAATCAAAATAATTTTGAGTACTATAAATTGATTTAAATATATTTATTATACATTAAAGTAATCATTATTAGTAAATTTCGAGAAATTCTTGTGTAATTATGTATAGAAACCTTCTATTAACAATGAACACTATGAGGACATAAGTCTTTTACAGTAATTCATCATCATGCCTTGGTTTTGTTTCACAAAAATTATAGAATTATATATGTGTAAGATATGTAATTATTGTATAATATGTAAAATTAATGAAATGTTAGATGCTTTGTAGTAGCATACACTTTAAGAGTATCATATTGTAAATTGCAGGTACGAAGGTTGGTACAGATGGATGTTCTGTTGTGATGAAATATTTCATTACCATTGTTAGATTATCACCAACATCTACTCTAGATATCCTAGATTCTACAATATCAATTTAAAAAACACGATAAATAAATATAAAGAAAATATAATATCGCTATGCGATCCATGCTTAGCTTAGTTTTGTCAGCAGCTCAATTTATCTAGTAAATAAAAAAATACATGTTATGTGCTTACCAATTCCATGTTTTTTAAATGTCTGATTATGAATTAAAAATATATAAGTCGCGTTGAAAATTAATTCACCTCAAAATTCTACACGACAAATTAATTTTACGTCATGCCAAATGCCAATGCTGTTTTTACTATTTTTTATCTATGGCACATGGTCTATGGCCAGGAACAACAAGAATTCTATAATCTATGTTATTTTATAAGCTACAGCTGACAACAGTTGTATAATAATCCACGTTATATGAAGAAAAAACAGGTACCCTACCCCAGCCTGCAAATTTATGATATTCGCAATGAAAAAAATACTAATCGATAGATTTTTAATAGCTCAATTCAACTACGTAGCCCTTCCAAATTGCTCACCATTAATTATACAATTAAAAATCAATAAAGTCCTTGAAAAAAAATTCATTTATCCGTATATTTAAATTTCTATATCTTTTGATATATACAATATTTTAAATTGCTCAAAGTTCTAAAACACTGCTCAAGTTGCATTTGTAATTGCTCAAGTAGAGTTTTCACCAGCTCCACTTTCGCTGATTATTAAATAATTAAAAATAGTTGTAATAAATGTAACGTATAGATAGGTGAGCGTGCGCATGCGCACGCGCGCATTGTCGGTCGGCCTCGGCGGGCTTGGACAATCGTTCCAATTCAACGTCTTAATTCTGTTTCTCGGTGGATTTCTTTAAATTTATTGAATTTATGAATTGTTCACATTACGTGATTCCACTTCAGATATTATAACATAAAGAACAGATCTGGAATCTACCAATAAATGAAAATTAATACCAACAGATAAATTAAGACAAAATCTTATGTTCAAATGCTTATTCTATTAAGGTAATAGCCATGACAGGGATCATTAGTAAAATGTTATTAACATCAATACAAGACGGAACTTTTATTTTTAAATATACATATAGTTTAATGACATTTTTATTTCAAAGAAACAAACTGCATGAATATAAACTGCCTTTAATATAAAGGAATTTTGAACTCTGATCAGCAATCAATAATTTAATAATACTGCTGTTTGCGCGCATGCGCATATATTATTTAATAATTAAGGAAAGTGGAGCTGGTGAGAACTCTACTTGAGCAATTACAAATGCAACTTGAGCAGTGTTTTAGAACTTTGAGCAATTTGAAATATTGTATACATCAAAAGATATAGGAGTTTGAATATACGGATAAATGAATTTTTTTTCAAGGACTTTATTGATTTTTAATTTTATAATTAATGGTGAGCAATTTGGAAGGGCTACGTAGTTGAATTGAGCTATTAAAAATCTATCGATTAGTATTTTTTCATTGCGAATATCATAAATTTGCAGGCTGGGGTAGGGTACCTAGAAAAAACTATTATAAACAAAGTTCACACTTCACGGGATTACATACCACAGGTAAGCAAGCCGAAACTATATGTTTTATTTGGTTTAAGCTTTTACGTTACGCCACGATTATAATATAATTTAAGGTATTTTATAAATGAACAATCATTAATGATTGAATAATGAGTAACAAGAAAAATAATTATTTATCAAGAACAAATGTGCAAATAAAAATTCAAAAATTAGAAAATAAAAAATAATATTATTATAATTCCACAGACTAAATAGAGCTGAATGATTGCCAATCACGCACGAATAAGTTCAATAGTAGTTTATCAAAACATTGTTAGTGTATTTGTAAAAATACACTAACAATGTTTTGATTATTAATATAATAATAATTATATATATACCCGGAAATATCACACAAAGATGTACGGGCTGAGAAGAACACCCCTACAGTCTTTGGCTGATAGGAATTATTGATATAGAAAATGATAGTCCAAAATTAAGTTTATTGTATATTAAGTTCTGTACTTTTATGATAAAATGATATAATGATAGGACGACCCGTGAGCGCGCACGACGGCGACCGCGACTACTCGTGCTACTTATTACTTACCAACATAATTATGACTACTGAAGTGAGTGGTAGGGAGTACAGACTACAAAGTCATAGAGTATATTGCTACATATATAAATACAGAGTACTGTAATTTTATTTGTCAATTGTCATCAGTGTAGTCAAGTTCTACAACAATTTTGTTTAAAATGTTCATGATGTGTGTATTTATGCATGGCATGGCGTCTTAACCTTCCGCGCCACGCAGATCCTCTCGGGGCATGGTTGCTTCGGGGGGTACCTGTGTCGGTTCACCGGGAGGGAGTCCTCTCCTCGCTGCCACCACTGTTTATATATGTAGCAATATACTCTATGCACCACTGCGACGACTGCCCGGACGAGTCGGCCCAGCATACGCTGGAGGTGTGCCCAGCTTGGGAGACGGAGCGCGAGGCGCTACAGAGTAGAGAGGTTGAATATATTCCCAAAAGGTTTTCAGTAAATTAAAAATGACCCTGTATAGTTTATGTATACTTTAAGAAAACTCATTTTTAATTTATTTTTATAAAAAATAAAAAATAACATGAATTTTCATAATATTTTGGGCACAAAATCAGACATCTTGATTATTTATTTTTGAACCCCTGAGTCAAAAACGACGTGGTGTTATGAGTTTGACTTGTCTGTGTGTTTATCTGTCTGTGGCATCGTAGCTCCCGAACGGATAAACCGATTTTGATTTTGTTTGTTTTTGTTTGAAAGGTGAATTAGTCGGGAGCGTTCTTAGCTATGTTTGATGAAAATCGATCCAAGATGATCGAGGGTTTTTAAGTTTATAATTTATAGATAGCTATAATAAATAGAAGTATTGACTTATAACAAAACCATTTAACTTTTTCCTTTACTATAAGATTTCTAATAAGTATTAATGGATACCATAAAATTATAAAACTGATGATAAAAGTCCGAAGAACGTCATACTAAAAAAAAAAATTGTTATAAATTTGACAGTGCCTATAAAAAAATCATAGTTCCATAACCAGGTCAATTACCAAACTTGAAATTTTTAAGGCTATATAAGAATAAAATGAAGTGTAATCTCTGAAATTTTCAAAAGATTTCGAGGTGATAGAAAAAAAAGTTATGGGTATTTAAAACAGCGATTTTAGAAAAGTCGATCGTCTTCACGTGGCTGTATTTTTTAGACATAACAGCAATCAGAGGACACTAGGATCAAAAAAAAAATTGAGCTCTTGATCATCCCTCTACTCTAAATTTTGTAGATATGTGAGTACCACTTTGACATTTAGAAAAAATTGCTCAAATGTGCAAAGAACCTGCGGGCTGCGTAGTATATTATTATATTAGTACGTTAAATGATTTTAATTGAAATACCTAATAAAAGATTTTAAATAAAAACTATCTTTTCGGATTATTTCGCGGATTTATTTTGATTTTTGGTACCCGACGTTTTGAATGAGACTAATGTTATAGACGTTTCAAAGACGTTATATACCTATTCGTTACAGACAGTGCCTACCCCCTATTATACAATATTAATCCCTCCACGACCGCGGACACGCTGGCGTGTCAGTTAACAATAGATTCTTTGAATTTTAATTAATTTCTTAGAAATTTACCTGAAGGTCTTAAAAGATTTTAATTGAAATAGCAATAAAAGCCTTAAAAATGTCAGATTACTATTTATACTAGTAAAGAATAACAAACTTAGTAAGAGTAGCATTTAAGGGCGGAGTTCACCGACTTTTTGAAGTTGAACCCATGAAAGGTATGTAGCGTTGTAATCGGCGCGGATGCAGGAAATAGTTTATGCTGGTATAATATTATATGATCTGTGGTGCTAGTATGGCAGTGTAGTGGTTTTGGACTTATAATATTATACCTTATTATGTTTAGGCATATACTTTAAAAGATCTTACTAATAATTAGAGATGTATGAGATGAGATGTGCTAGAGATGAGATGACTAGCCGGCCACTTTTGTAGTCAGCGACTAGTCGGCGAATAGTCGGCGAATAGTCGGCAAAAAGGGCCGACTAGCCGGCTTCTTACTTTGTACGCATTTTTCAATCAATCCATCAATATATGCTTTATTCAAATAGACTTTTACAAGCTCTTTTAAATCGTCATTTTTATATTATGAAAATAAAGATTTTACATTAAACATCTGTGTGTAAGTCCGTGAGGAAACTAATAAAATATATGTTAGAAATGATTCGAACATGAAAATATCATAATAAAATAGAGGTCTGAGACAGAGATTGAACTTAAGGCAAGCTAAGGCAGCGTTCGTAAGAAACATTTTCGTTGTCGTTTCGTCCATGACACTCAGAAAGAACGTGGCTTTCTATTGGTAAAAGAATTTTGAAAATCGGTTTAGTAGATCCAGAGATCACCCCCTACAACGTCACAAACTCACGAACTCACAATATCACAAACTTTACCTCTTTATAATATTAGTATAGATACATATACATACATATACATACAAATTAAAATATAAATATAATCGTATGCATTTGGAATACATAAAAATAGTGGATCTGATAATAAAATTAAGAACCAATTTGTGAAAGAAGGTACTGTTTTATATTTTTTTTAAAAGAACATAAAGAGGGGCTTTTATGGATGTATTTAGGGAGTTTGTTCCCTTTTTTGTTTGTTTTGTTCCTATCTATACTAATATTATAAAGAGGTAAAATTCATGAGTTTGTGAATTGTAAGTTTGTGACGTTGTTGTAAGTAATCTCTGGATCTACTAAACCGATTTAGATGAAATTTGGTAAGAAGATAGTTTGAGATCCTGGTAAGGATATAATATAATATATTTATCCCGGAAATCTATATATATTAAATATTTTATCCGAATATTTATATATTTTTATCCCGCAATCATCCCTTAAGGGGATGAAAGTTTGCATGGGGAAGCAAGCTAGGAACGAACCCGAGCGAAGCGAGGGTGAGTCGCTAGTAGCTAATATAGTTTAATTAAAATATTAAGGAAGTATAGCTCCGAACCCTATAAATAAGTATAATAATATATTCTATTAATAGATTAGGGTCAGGGTAATAATATATTATACCTATCCATACTTTGCTATATTGAAAGAAAATATTTATCTATTTTATAAACGATTCATATAAAACATCTAATCACAAACGTTAAAACACCCTTAAATGTCATAAGTATGATTACGATATTAAGATCGAGCGTACCTCACAATGTTTACAAAAGTATTTATAGGTACATAATACGATAATAATATTTTATACACATTTGTGATAGTATATATCTATACTCTTTGGTGATAGTACTGTGTTCACGAGCGTGAGGGAAACATGGCTGTCAAAATATCTGTCGGGCGTCTCGCTTTTTCTAGTCATGGGGGAGAGAGACGGGAATATGTTATCATTCATCGAACGGAATGTGGATGTCATTGTCATTGTCAGTCGTCGGAAGTTCAAAACAAGGCGCGTGGATCTCGGGAGTGACAGCGAGTGTCTCGTTCTCGGAGCAGCCTGGGCCTACTGAGGCCCATCGCGTGAGATAACGTGTAATACACTTAATTAATTAGCCGGCGGCGGAGGCGCGGAGGGCGCGGCGAGCGCGGCCATGTGACCGGCCGCGCTACTGCGTCGCGGCCGCCGCGTGCCGCCGCTGCTTGGCCTGTACTCAGTAGCGCCTCCGCGCACGGCGCCGTGCTCATTGCTGTTGTGCTGTGCAGGTCACCGGCCGGCCTCCACCGGCCCCCACCGGGCCCCGCCGACATGAAACCGCAGGACGACTACAGGAACGGGGACGGTGAGCTACAACAACATACTTACTAGAGTTATATACAAACTCATTTAATACATTCGTTTTCTAGATAAATCTACAAGGCTAAACTAATACATATAAAATCGCAGTAAAAACATTATAGGTAATAATAAAACTAGATCTTAGTGTTTTCCTAAAGAAGGTTTAAGCGCTTTTTGATATACTTACATAGCAGCTTGATTGATCCATTTGTTTATTTAATTAATAGAATATACATAACTAACAGAAATGCAAAGTTAACTAAATGTAAAAGTTAAAAATGTGAATGTCTGCTATATTTGATTTATTTAAATTGAAGCTAAATATATATTTATTTAAATAGGGTAATATAAAGTAGTTTATCAATATATACTTAAACTTTTGAAAAGTTAAACAAATATTACACTACTAAATGAGAATGGAAAAAGTAAGAAATGCTGTTCATAAATTTCACCTTATTGATTCAAATAGAAAGAAACAATTTACTGTAAATAACAATTACACCTCAGAGAAAAGACAATATTATTGTAAATAATGCAACAGAACCTGTTATTTAACAATGTCTCTATTGAAGTTATCTGTCATATGATATCTTTGTTTACAAAAAGACAGGCTGCATTATACTTTATTGCTCATTAACTAGCATTTAACTTAGCATTAAAAATAAAAAAGTGACTTAAAAGATAAAACATGGTTATTTATGTAATGAAACGCAGTCACTATTTCTGAATACAAGTGGTGCTTCTTTATATTAGATTAAATGTTACGCTCATACTGCTTTAATCTTTTAGGTATTGCTCAATATAACCATGAATGTATTAATTGGTAAACATGAACTAAAAGCATCCACATATTTCAATTGAATTCTTGAAGAATCTTGTTATATAGAATATTTCATATTTTAAAAGAAGATTCTAGCCGCTTTCCTTTAAAATTTTGAAGTTGTTAGTAAGACATTAAGTTTTTGTATTTTACTTACAGATGTAGATTCCACAATTTTATTTTGAACATCTAAATGTTACTAGAAGACTATTTTTTATCTCATGTTCTGCTTTGAAGTATTTTTAAAACATTATATTTAATTTACATATTTTGATTGTAATTTTTTGCAATCCTTCTAGAGTGGGTCACATGATTACTTTCAGAAGTAACGTTGCCTGTTAACTAGTTTCTAAATTGGTGATTCTACGATAAGAGGTAATGTGTACGGCAATCAATATAAAATAGCTTCTTTATTCTAAGTCTTGTCATTTTATGCAATAAATCACAGCATCTTAATGTGTATTTTATGAATAGCATTGCGATTAAAGACCTAATTAAAATACATTTTCCTAAAATTCCATATTTAAGTATGAAAATGTCTACTCTGGCCTGTCCCTTTGACATATTTTTAGTTAAACATGCGGACAATACATGCCTTTTCTGTCGCATTTTCCAAATTAAAGTATATTTATCACGAATTTAAACAAGTATACTTGAGTATTATAAATGTAAAATGCAACAATATTTGTTTATTTTCAATAATTTTCAAACTTTATTTTTGTCCCGCTTTTTTTGTGTCTCTACTCTGGCGAATTTTGGTCCGTTAAAACTAACATAATTATTGGGCATATTCAAACTAGGGCCCTAGGACGCTTATCAACGTGAAGTTAGCAATACTAAACAGACGAGCCGTTAGATTGGTGTTATTTGTTTGTTGGGGCGACGCGAAAGTGTTTTCGCGAGGTGATTGTGTCCTTCCACTGGAAAGTCGTAAAATTTATAAATTTCATTTTATTTGTATTTATTAACTAAAGTCAACAATACTGTAATAGATGAGATGTGATAACCCAATATTAACTTGTCATTTAAAATTTTTAAATTTGTCGCGAAAAGGTCTCTCCTCTGGCGTATTTCCTCTGGCAAGATAACTACCAGTGTAGATACCCACTGACTACTGTAATGATTTTGAAGTTCATGGCTAAGAATTATATACATTTAAAAAGCTACCAGTGTGTACTTTAATTTAAATAATATTTGCAAATAAAATTTAATTTAAAAAATATTTAATAATAAAGCGAGTTGCCCTTAGGTGAATGTGTATAAAAGGTAAAGGTAATGGTAAGGTGTGTGTCTTAAATCGTAATATATATTGTGTTTAATCAAAAAAAAACAACTTTCTCCCTTGGTTGCATCTTCTATGGACGCAAAACCTCTTATTGTATGTAGAATCACCCAAATAGACACTTCAGTGTAGAGTCCATTCCAAAGCTTATTTATGATGACAAATATGTCTAATACAATTGTATGTAATAGAAATGACCAAGTCAAACTGTATCTAACTAGTGGGCTCTCTTCGTTTTGATATGTCTTATTCAATACCTTGTTCTGAACTGTCCGGAGCTTTATGAAAAAATGCTTTTAATAAAGTGTTGAAAGAAACAACTTAAAAGAAAGACCTATTTTTAGTTACGTTTTAGGGTTCCTTAGTCAAATGGCTATAATGGATTTTTAATAATTTTGGCAAAATTGTCTATCTGTAAATTTTACTTAGGACTAATATTTTTTTTTAATTAGGTACTTATGTAGGTGTCTCATGTAAACTGCTAGTTATTTTGTAGACAAATTACAAAAATAATATTAAAGGGTTGTCACTCATTCAAATAGATGTTTGTTACTGATTTTGTTCAATCCAATAGTTGCAGAATTAAAAGCTCCTTATGTCGTAAATGTTGTGTCCCGTCCTCTTTAACTTTTAAACTATGCGTCGCAAAATCCTAAAAAATAAATAAACAGAGCTTCCAGAATACGATTTTCCATTTTATACATTCGGCCGCAAACTTTGTTCATCATAGTACAAAACTATTTATTGCCGTCTATAGAATGAATATCGTAGACCGATAAATATTTTACTTTTAACATAGCAATTTAGTATGTTACAACAAGATATAAATTTAATATTTCATACTACAGAACCCTAGGTGCGCGAATCACACTCGCACTTGTCCGATTTTTTATCAATGTCATAATGATAATGAGGTGATAATAAGTAATATATATATATATATATATATATATATATATATATATATATATATATATAGATATATGTATATATATATTAACAATGTTTATCTTCTTGGTGCAAATAATAAATAAAGTTTACTGATTGAAATGTAAAACTTTAATTGTTTACTGAATTTTAAATGGAGTAAAAATATGCAAATGCATTATTATAATCCAGACTAATAGTTACACCCTGAAGAAACTGTTTCCATTAGGAAAAGTTCAGCACTAGTTTCTCAGAATTGAATGAAATGAGGTGGGGGATATCATACGAGTATGTACTTACAGTGTCCAGCTGTAGTAAAGTTACACATATTGTATGTAATTTAATTTAAAGTAGTTTAATATACCATTGAACTAGCAGATGATTACAAGTTTGCATAAAAAAGACAAATTATATAAAAATACATGCGGTATTTCTCTTACATTGAAAGTACCTGCTGTGTTTTACTAACACATTAGTATTTGTAATTTATTATTAATTCTTTTCATTTTTCCGCTTTACCACTGATGCTTATTCAATTCTAAATTTCCTGCAGCGATCGATGTCTGGCTAGTCGCATATCCGCTTCGTAGTTTACGCGATTCATCATGGCTTCGAGTCGTTCGACGAAATCCGATAGAATGTTATCCGTGAGCTGTAAATCGATGCGGCCGCATAAACAACTTTCAAGGCTGTTACAAAGTCAATTACAAAAGATTCTGCAGTAACGTGACGCGCCACTCGCCAGCGCCACTGCTGTCTCCGTCGTACCAGGCGCGCGCGCGACGGGCGCGAGGCGGGCGAGAGTCGGACGCGGTGGGCGCTCGATTGAACTGGTCGACGCCGGCGACGGTCGTTTAGCCAATTGATGAATACTTGTGTACGATCAAATAGTTCCTCGCGCATTTCTTCCTTTAGATTATGTACCTAATTTATAAAAGTCGTCCTCCGTCCGCCGCCGCGACCGCTCTGCGAGTTGCGATTCTCGCGAACGGTTACAAACGATTTATGAAAATAAATTATATATAATTACGTTCGGATGAGATTATTGAGTGAAGCCGGAACCGATGCGGTGTATATACAATTCTAACTTTAATTAGTGGTGTTTGTCATCTTATTATGTAACTTTAATAGGAGATATTATTATCACCTACTTAAAGCTGACTTGTAATATTTTTATCATTGAAAAGTAATCTCGAGTGTACATAATATTAAGATAATATCAAAAACAAAATACTAAAGCGTCGCAACGCCAGAACAGTAGACAAGACAAGCCGCGAGCGATGCGGAGGTGCCAGCCAGCATTGCTTCGAGGTGCCGCTCGTGCTTACCCGTATCGCGTTATCTACTGATAATAAGTATAGTCGTGCGGCCTGTTATAGTTTATCATTGGAATTAACCATCGCTAATTGTTGTTTTCGTCACATGTCTCGTGGACACTGATGGCCGCGCGTGGTACGATTAGACAGCGAAATTAATTGTACGACATAATTGTGTGTCGATGACAACTCGCAGTGTACAGTACACAACATTGTGAACTGCGTACACTGTGCGAGGGGTAATGTATAAACGTGGGTCGTGCGCAGGCGGCTCCGACGACAGCGAGGGCGAGGAGCCCAGTGCGCTGGAACAGGAGCTGTCGTTGGACGACCCCGAGACGCCGGCGCGCGTCCTGCACGCGCTCAACGCGCTGCGCAAGGCGCGCCAGCACTACGACGTGTTGCTGGCGGCCGCGGGCGAGGAGGTGGCGGCGCACCGCGCCGTGCTGGCCGCCGTGTCGCCGCGCCTGCTGGCCGCGCTGGCCACGCTGGAGCCGCCGCCCGCCACGCTGCGCGTGCCCGGCGTAGATGCGGACGCGCTGCGCGAGCTGGTGGAGTACGCGTACACTGGGCGCCTGCGCGTGCGCGACGCCGCCGCCGCGCGCCGCCTATACTGCGCCGCCGCGCGCCTGCGCGTGGAGCCCGCGCGCGCGCACCTGGCCGAGCGCCTCGTGCGCCGCCGCGCGCCGCATGACTGCCTCGCGCTGCGCGAGCTGCCTGACCTCGCGCCGCACCACCGCGCCCAGCTCGACGCCTACATTGCGCAGAACGTAAGGCGACAAACGACACAATAAACGCCCTACTATCCTACCATCGAACTCCTCTGGTCCATGAGGACTCCCATTAACTCGTAGCTTTTTTTTAGTTCGATGAAATATGTGAGAGCGGCGCTCTGGCGGCACTGCCGCTGATTCGCATAGAACTACTTCGAGAGACTAGTGCCGAGGGCGGCGAGGAGGCGCCGGCGGCCGTCGCCGACGCTGCGCTGTCTTGGCTCAGAGATCATAATTCTTCAGACGTGGACGTGAGTGTTGCTTTATCGTAACAAATTAGGGATTAATTTGCGAAAATTTTCGTGTCTATTATACAAGTGCGGTGTGCTGTTTGTCGGCAGCTGGAGGAGCTGTGCTCGCGGACGCACTTGCTGTTCGTGGACGCGAGCGGCGTGCTGCGCGACTGCGGCGAGCTGCCGGCCGCGTGCGGCGACGCGCCCGAGCTGCAGGAGTACCGGCGCGAGGCGCAGGAGCGCTCGCGCGGGCCGCGCCGCCGCGACCCGGCGGAGGAGGGCGGGCCCGGAGAGAGCGGCGTGCTGGCGGCGCGCTCGTGCGGGGCGGGCGGCGCGGGCGGTGCGGGCGGCGTGACGCGCGCCGTGGTGCAGCTGCGCGGGCGGCTGGCGGCGGCGCGCGTGGCGTGGCGCGCCGGCAGCGCGGCGGGCCCGCGCGGCGGGCGGCTGGGGGGCGCGCGGGCGGGCGGCGCGGAGGGCGCGGAAGGCGCGGCGCTGGCGCACATGTCGCTGGGGCGCTGCGCGGTGGGCGCGGCGGCGCTGGGCGCGCGGCTGGTGGTGTGTGGCGGCTACGACCGCGCGCGCGTGCTGCGCGCGGCCGAGGCGTACGACCCGCGCGACAACGCGTGGGCGCCGCTGCCGGACATGACGCGCGCGCGGGCGCGCTTCCCGGCGGCGCGGCTCGGCAACGCGCTGTACGTGTTTGGCGGCTCCGACGGACAGACGGAGTTGGACTCGGTGGACGTCTACGAGGAGGTGAGCGGGTGTTGAACTTAAGCTGTTTATTTCTCCATCCGTTATTAAATTTTATGGAATTATTAAAAAGTATAGAAATTTTTGCCACTGCATGATCTAAACCCGCATTTAATTAACACTTATCAAAGATTTATTTGCATTTTTGTTTCCCGACGTTTCGAATGCTTTACAGCAATCATGGTCACGGGAGAGACTGAGGTGTTAGATGTCTCTAAGGTATTATATAGTTGTTACAGACAGCCTACCCACAAATAACAAAATGAATTCAAAAAATTGAAAAATGGCTCCAAAGTACCTTACAATATTTAACTTTTAACTTTAAACATTTTTATATAATTTTAATTAGCTTTATAATTGAATGTAGAATATTATTTATTTAATTTGAGCGGTTATTATTATAATTATTACAATTTTAAAAATATTAATTATTAATCTACATTTTTAGTGTTGCCATTATTATATTTATAACCATAAAGAAAAAATCATAATATATTAATTATTTAAGCCACAATTGATCTATGTGTAATTTGAAAAAGTTAAGATTAATACTTTCTTATAATACTTTCTTATTATTAAAAATTTTTATTTAAAAAGTTAAGATTAATTAAAAATAATAATTTTAATTTAAATTTGCTATTATTTAAAAAACAAATTATTAATCAACACATTACTACATACATTTACAAATGAAAAAGTGAAAAAATATTATTAATGAAGAAAAAAATTCACTTTTTCATTTGTAAATGTATGTAGTAATGTGTTGCTTAATAAATTTTTTTTAAATAATAGCAAATTTAAATTAAAATTATTATTTTTAATTAATCTTAACTTTTTAAATAAAAAATTTTAATAATAAGAAAGTATTATAAGAAAGTATTAATCTTAACTTTTTCAAATTACACATAGATCAATTGTGGCTTAAATAATTAATATATTATGATTTTTTCTTTATGGTTATAAATATAATAATGGCAACACTAAAAATGTAGATTAATAATTAATATTTTTAAAATTGTAATAATTATAATAATAACCGCTCAAATTAAATAAATAATATTCTATATTCAATTATAAAGCTAATTAAAATTATATAAAAATGTTTAAAGTTAAAAGTTAATATATTGTAAGGTACTTTAGTGCCATTTTTCAATTTTTTGAATTCATTTTGTTAATTGTGGGTAGGCTGTCTGTAACAACTATATAATACCTTAGAGACATCTAACACCTCAGTCTCTCCCGTGACCATGATTGCTGTAAAGCATTCGAAACGTCGGGAAACAAAAATGCAAATAAATCCGCGGCATAATCCGAAAAGATAGTTTTATTTAAAATGTCAAATATTCGCGTAAATCTAAGAAAGTACTTATCAAAGAATAATACTTTCTTAGATTCACGCGAATATTTGACATCTACATACATATAATAAAATTGTAACTAAGTCGAATTTGTACATTAAATATTTGTTGGAAAATCTTATTGAAATAAACATTATTATCGATACAGAGGCCGAATCTATAGTTTTTAGAATTTTTGTTTGTCTGTCTGTTACTGCATCACAGAAAAACCACTGGAGGGATTTTGATGAAATTTGGTATGGTGATAGCTAGTTATCTGGGACAACATATAGGATACTTTTTACCGCGGGAAAATGTCTCATTTCTGAGAAAAAATACAAAAACTGCAATGTAAGAGTATGCTAATATGTAAAACCTACTACCTACCTACTGAACTTAAAAAAACACTAGTCTGATAAATATTATATTTATTATTTATTTTTTTGTATTTCTTTTTATTTTGTAGCTACACATTTTATTTATATCTGTTTTTATTTTATTGTTAGTAAGTTTACTCTGCTATATTTATGTATAAGTGGAAACTTTATTGGCTAAGTGTATTATTTGTGATGTATTTTGCATTTTATGCTTATATATGCTGACTGTTTTCCAATTTACAAAATAAATTAATAAATAAATGAATAAAACCTAAATAAAGTAAAAAGAATTTGGTTTTTGGTCATCTGAACGCGGGCCGAGAAGCAGGCAATGCTAGTTTTAAGTAAAACTATCTTTTCGGAGTATTTCATACTTATCAGACTTAAGTAGACCGTGCGATAATGAACTATGTATGTCAAATATTCAAGAAAATAAAATTTATAAATGTTCAATTTATAATATACTAGCAGAACCCGCGGCTTCGCTCGCGGTAAAACTACAAAAATCTCTAAAATGGTAGGTTTCATACAAATTTTCATCCGCTATTTTTTACTCCCTTATGAGATGAATTTCGAAAAATGCTAAAACATGTATTTAAATAATTGAATTGAAGAGCATTTATACAAGTTTTAAGTAATTCTGACCATACATTTATTTTTGGATTGTATTATAACGTGTTTTAACGTGGGAAAGAGACAATTTGCCTCAGTAAAAAGTAGCCTTAGTCACTCTCCAGCCATCCAACTATCTCCACACAAAAAATCACGCCAATCCGCCTAGCAGTTTCGACGTGAAAGAATGACAAACAAAGAAACGCACTTTCACATTTATAGTATTAGCCTGGATTTCTAATCGGAATAAATGATACATAAGTGTAATCAAGGCTTTGGAAGATCTTTTTAAAAAGAAGGCGGGTTTACGTCAGTCGAGCTATAAAATGTTATAGGTACGATATTCGTGAAATAATTTATCATATTAATGAACGGCGTTTATTTATAGTGGACTATTTATTTTTTTAATTAATATTTATTTAATTAAGTCATATGTATCTTAATTTACTATTTCAGACTCGTACTTTACCAAAATGTTTTCAATTAAATTCTTTTTTATATAAGTACATATATGAATTCGTTTCTCCGCCCATGAGGAGTTTGTCAGAATTGATGCAGTGGCCCCTTCGCGTTGCAGGACGCGGCGGGCGGCGGCGCGTGGCGGGCGCGCGCGCGCATGCCGCTGGCGCGCTCGCACGCGGCCGCGGCGGCGGACGAGGCGCGCGGCGCGCTGTGGGTGGTGGGCGGCTGGGCGGGCGGCCGGTCCCTGCGCGCCGCCCACCGCTACCTGCCCGCCCACGACCGCTGGGAGGACGCGCCGCCCCTGCGCGCCGGCCGCTCGCAGTGCGCCGGCGTGGTGTGGGAGGACGCACTGTGGGTGCTGGGCGGCTGCGACGCGTGGAACTGCCTGGCGTCCACCGAGCTGCTGCCGCTGGGCGAGGCGGCGGCGGGCTGGCGCGAGGGCCCGGCGCTGGCCACGGCGCGGCGCTCCGTGGGCGCGGCCGTGTGGCGCGGCTTGGCCGTGGCGGCGGGCGGCTCGGCGGGCGCGGCCTCGCTGCGCGACACGCTGCTGCTGGCGCCGCGCGCCGCCGCCTGGCGCGCCGGGCCCGCGCTGCGCCGCGCGCGCGCCGCGCCCGCGCTGGCCGCGCTCGGCGACGTGCTGTACGCCGCCGGCGGCTTTTCCGGCAAGGAGTTCCTGGCCTGCGTCGAGTGCCTCTACGAGCCCGACGGCGAGTGGACCACACTGTGCGCGCCGCCCTCGCCGCAGGCGCCTCCTACCGACGCTCGGGTACCTGTAGCTTCTTCTTCATCTAGATGAAATACTCGCGGATTGGCCGAAAATAAAGTACAAATTTGTCTCTATTTTCCAGGAGGAAGAGTCGCCGCAGGAAAACGGCGAAGTGTCTCCGCCGCCGCAGTAGTCCTGCGCCGTACTGCACTGTGTCGCACCTACCTCAAAATTACTCACGTGTACGCATTTACGTGCATTTTGGGGAACAGCGCGGCGCCCGCCGCCCGCGCGTCCCCCCTCGCTCTAGAACATTCCACTGACGCTGCAAGGCTTCTCTCGTACCTCGCGCGCAGTCCGCGGCCGGCCGCCGCCCGCGCCGCACGCGCCGCGCGCTGCGGCACACATTTTATATATCAATATAAAATACATTTATTACACGACGCACTCGCCGCGGGCGACGCTCCCTGTATTGATGTGTATTACTGTTTACATTTCATAGAATAAATTTGTTTTAATTGGCAATTCGTATTTAATTTCAAGCCACTGTTTTTGTAACATTCCTGGAGTGATGATTCTGCGTGCTGCGAGTCTGATTGATTTTACTACTAGCGCCATCTATTATATTAAAACGAGAATTATATTTAAAGAAAAAAAGCGCTATAACACTGCACGTTTGCAATATTCGAGTAATGATCAATTTCACCACACTTTGTTAGATTTTATCAATTAACCTGGCTGCAAATAAATAACAAAAAAAAACTGCTTATCATCACGTAGCCATAAGCGTATTTACAACGTGGTTCTTTTAGAAAATAGATAAATATTTGAAAGGACTTTTGCTTTCAGTTAGATTTTTAGTATTTAAGTACATGGGCCACCGAGCTTTGCTCGAAGTTTTTTGTTAATAAGTACAATTTTCTTAAAAAAAAAACTAAAAACTAATAAACACAAAAAAAACAAAAATTAATTATACCTTTGAATCCGACCGGGATTCGAAACCCGGACACGTATTCGATCTTGCGCCTTGGCCGCTTGACCATGATGCTTATATCTGAGCGTGCGAAATTCTCGAACATAATATTTTGCGTGGAATAATGCTAAAGAAAACCGCATAAAAATTAGAAAACACGCATTTTCCCAGACATAAGACTAATCTAGATCGATTTATCGCCCCGGAAACCCCTTGTATATTAAATTTCATGAAAATCTAATTATGAGTACTTTTAATGAAGCTAAAAGGCCGAAATATTTTTTTTTAACTTTTTAAAGGACTTTTTTTTGTGTCGGAGATATCTTAATTTTTTTTTATTTCATTCTTTTTAAATAACTCGCGGACACTAATTCTATGGATAACTCTCATTGTAAATATTCTTATGTGTTCAAACACGCGATATCTGCTGTTAGTTTCTGAGGAATTGAGCATCCAGCAAACTACTTGATACTACTGCATCTGCTCAACGTTAGCTTGTCTTGGAAATACCTCCAAAATAACAGTACACCAAGTTTCAAATCAATCGGATCTGTGAAAGTTAGTAAGACCCTTTTGTCCAGTAGGAAATAAATGATGATCATCAAACGCCTGAAAAGATCTTTACAAATTATAGGTGAGGACCATTTCGATGACGTCAGCTTTCAAATAAAAAAACCGCATCAAAATCGGTCTGTTCGTTTAGGAGCTACGATGCCACAGACAAGACACACAGATACACAACAGACACGTCAAATTTATAATAAAAAACAATATTAAGTTAAATATACTCATAATGCCCTTTCATTTGATACCCCACTTAGGTATATTTGAAAATATTTGATTATTTATCACCACTTTCACCCCCATGTCCAAAATGGCTGAATCGATTTTGATAAAACGTGTCCAATTGTTTGACGCTTTCATTTGATACCCCAATTGGGTATATTAGGAAATATTAGATTTTTTATACCCAATTCCATCACTCATATCTAGCAAATGACTGCACCGATTTCGATAAAACGTGTCTAAGAACCATCGCCAAGAAACTAACTGCCAAATAAAAAAAACCGCATCCAAATCGGTTCACTCGTTTCAATACACACACAGCGATCACACACCTCTTTTTCCATCGGGGGTTAAAAAATGACTATTTTTATTATCTCAGTATAGTTGACTACTGTGACCGAAATCAAACAAACCTACAGATAATTTACCAAAAATATAGTATTATCACAGATCACATAATTGATAATATACAGATGCCTCATCCCATACAAGGAAATTAGGAATCGCTAATTCGGGCTAATCGTTGGACTATTGTTGTTTGCTTGAGTAGATAAAGGACGCCGTTGTTCCGTAAAAAGTTGAACTATTTTATTTTATAAATATGTGCAAACTAACATAATATCATAAATATTGTAAAATTCATCATGCGCGCGATTAAACAAAATTCTGTGAATTTAACCATTTTTAACCGTTACAAACAACTCACAATGTTTTTTTTTAATTATCACGTAATTACGTATTCTTCCCAACGAACCCTTACATTAGATATCCATATCAAAAGGGTCACTATAGCCATGGGGTCTCATCACGAACAAAAAATTGTTCAAAAAATGTGTTCAATTAACAAAAGGTAAAAAATAGATCCCAAAAGGGTATATTATTGTTATTTATTTATTAATATTATTATAAAAAATATTCTAAGTGAAGGAAAAAAATAATAATGCGCCTATAAATAAAATATGCGTAATTTCCTTGATTATTGTAATATCAGCAATCAGATGATGGTTTTAGTGTATGTATGTTTTCAGATAGCGCTTTTACTTTTTATGAATTGTTTATCGCGGTAAAAAATTCTTAAGATCACCGATTTTTTTTCGAATGCAAAATGAATTTTACAATATTTACCATACGTTAGTTTTGATATATTTGTAAATTAAAAGTTTGAACAAAAATAGCCCGTATTAGTTCTGTTCAATGAGGCATCTGTATACTAGTATTATGTGATCTGTACTATAGCTATGGAAATAATAAATCGCTATTTTGTAACGTCCGCCATATTGGATTAAAAATTGCAGCATTTAGGTAATCGACAAGTTTGAGTCAGACGTTTGTCGTGTGCCATATTTCAGCTCAATCGGACATCGGGAAGTGGGTCAAATTTAACTTTGCAAGGTTTGATTACATATAGACACCGGGACTCACTTAACATTGTAGCCAATAACGACTAACTTCATAGTGTAGTCTAACTATTACTAGTAATTTAACCAAATTTAACGCAACATTTACGTACATATCGCACAGCCCTCCTGTCATTATACTCTACTTATGTGTATTTATATTACTCTAAATATTTTCGCATACAAATGTAAGGCAAATAAATAAAAGAGTGTCGTAATGCGTACAAAATATTTATTACAATGGGCAAGAGAGACAGGCGTCAGCGCGTGCGCGTGCACTCAGGCGAGCTCCGCCTGGCGCTGCAGCAGCGTCTTGGCGAGCGTGTGCCGCGCGCCCAGCACCACGTCCGCGAAGCCGGCGTCGCGCTCGCGGCGCAGGCACTGGGCGGGGGCGGGCACGGGCGCGCAGGGCGGCGCGGGCGGCGGCAGCAGCAGTGCGGGCTCGGGCGCGCGCAGGGCGCGCAGTGGCGCGGCGGCCAGCAGTGCGGCGGGCGGCGCGTCGGCGGCGCCGCGCCACTGCTGCAGCGCTGCGGACACGACAACGGAAGGGTCACTTACGTTGCCGAGTGACAAGACTTACGTAGCCTTCCCGTTAGGTTTTTTTTATTTCAAACCCAGAACTGACTACATACTATCAATAATAAAGTGATATCGGAGACCGTTTGACAATTTAACTGCTTTTATCATTTAGTGAAATTTGTAAGAAACGGAGCCTAGTGACAAAACTCCGGGAATCATATTCAATAGATTTAAATTATATGACAATAGAAACAGAAAAGTCAAATATCCGTTTAGCGTTCATCTGTTCTGTATATTGGAATTTCAATCCGGAGCCAAGTAACGATAGTTTCGTCATATTTAGTTAATCTATTGATGCTATTAAAATTATAGGAGCGGTGCAGCCGCAGCGAAACGCGACGCACCGGCCTCGTAGTCCTGCCGGTAGAAGGAGAGCGCGACGGGCGCGGCGTCGGCGGCGAAGCGGCCCACGTCGGCGGCGGCGCGCGGCGCGGGGGCGGGTGCGGGGGCGGGCGGCGCGCCGGGCTGGGCGGGCGGCGCGCCGGGGGCGGGCGGCGCCTGCGCGTAGCGGTGGAACGCCACCGGCGCGAACCACTGCTCGCCGCTGATCGTGTTCATGCGCACCTGCTCTCACACACATGCACCAGGCGTTACATCTTATTTAATATTGTTTCGGATTGTACACATTTACACAATACGATACGACATTTCTCGTGTCGAGCGCACAAAAAGTGCTAATATATTGAAGGTAACAAGTATTTTGTCGTTTTCGAATAATAATAATAAAAAAGATTGACTAAAGATATGGAAACAGTTAAAAATATTTTAAATGTTTAATCTCGTGATCGCGGTTTGCGTCGCCATATTGGATAAATAATACCGAAGATAGTTTATAACATGACGTCACTCAAGTTTTAATAGTGACATAAATGTAAATAATGTCCTTATGACCTTGTCACGGTAATGTCATACATACAGTATTGCAATTCGGCCCTGTCCCTGAAACCATTCATATAATAAAATTGTAACTAAGCAGAATCTGTACATTAGATATTTTTTGGACAATCTTACTGAAATAAACATTATTATCGATATAGAGGCCGAATCTAGAGTTTTTAGAATTTTGGTCTGTCTGTTACTGCATCACAGAAAAACCACTGGAGGGATTTTGATAAAATTTGGTATGGTGATAGCTGTTTATCCGGATCAACATATAGGATACTTTTTACCGCGGGAAAATATTTCATATTTGAGAAATAAAAACTTTTTAACAAAAAAATAAAAACCGACTTCAAACAAAAGCACTAAAAAGTAAAAAATAACAGATTCGTAGTTTTCATTTACTAGGTGTGCTTTGCTTTGTATGGGCTGGCACCGACTTCGAAATTATTTGATTAGGTATGTATAGTAAATGAGAACTACCAATCAGTTTTAAATAAAACTATCTTTTTGGATTATTTCGCGGACTTATTTAGATTTTTGGTTCCCGACGTTTTAGACAGGTAGATGTACTAAGTTCTTACTGAGTAGATCAAAATGACATTATTATGACATTATATTATTATATTTTTCATTTGTAAAAGTATACTATTATAGTAATGGTGTTGCTTAGTAAGTTGTCTTTTTAAATAATAGCAAACTAAATTAAATTATTATCCTTAATTAATTTTTACTTTTTAAATTACACATAGAACAATTATATGGCTTAAATAATGAATACTAGATTTTATATTTTTCTTTATGGTTATAAACATAATAATGGTGACAAACACTAAATATAGATTACTAATTAATATATTTGAAATTGTAATAATTATAAGAATAACAGCAAAAATTAAATAAATAATATTCCATATTCAATTATAAAACTAATTAATATTATAAAAATGTTTAAAGTTAAAAAATATTGTAAGGTAGTTGGTGCAATTTTCATTTTGTTATTTGTGGGTAGGCTGTCTGTAACAACTATACCTTCAAGACATGTAACAAAGTTAAAAGTTAATATATTGTAAGGTACTTTAGTACCATTTTTCAATTTTTTGAATTCATTTTGTTAATTGTGGGTAGGCTGTCTGTAACAACTATATAATACCATAGAGACATCTAACACCTCAATCTCTCTAGTGACCATGATTGCTGTAAAGCATTCAAAACGTCGGGAACCAAAAATCAAAATAAATCCGCGAAATAATCCGAAAAGATAGTTTTATTTAAAATGTCAAATATTCGCGTAAATCTATGAAAGTATTATACCAATCAGTTATTTTTTACTTTTTAGTGATTTTGTTTGAAGTCGGTTTTTATTTCATTGTTAAAAAGTTTTTATTTTCCCTTTTTAGTGTAGACAGTAGTAGCAAAGTAAGAATTATAACGTGGTAGGCTTGTCAAATCAAACAAATAAGCCCAAACTCAAAGTATCTACTATTAGCCGTTGAAGAGTTCCACCTATCCACCTTCTGGCCTTACCATCAGATCAGGTCAACAATACCGAACCATTGTACTATCAACGGAAATAGAAACACTTGCAAAGTTTCAAGTCAATATGACAATTAGAAGTAGGTTAAATTCATCATTAGTTGTTTTTCCACCCTTAGGGGTGGTTTTTTTTTTTGAAATTTAAATGGGACCAATCTGGAAGTATAACCTTTCAAATAAAACAAAAATTGTCCAAATCGGTTAATAAATGATCGAGTTCTGAGGTAACAAACATAAAAAAAATACAGTCGAATTGAGAATCTCCTCCTTTTTGAGGAAGTCGGTTGAAAATACAAAAATTACAATTCAAGAGTATACTAATATGTAAAACTTAAGAATTTGGTTTTTGGTCATCTGAACGCGGACGGAGCCGCGGGCAATGCTAGTTACCTACGGCCGCGCGGTACGCAACCACGCGACAGGGCTGCCCGAATGTCCGCCGGCCAGTATTTTAATTTCATCTACCTACTCGAGTTTCTTTCTAGTTTTGTGATTGCAAATATTATATTTTTATTTAAAAAATATTATTAGTAGATTTAATTAAAAATTCTCAAATTTATAAGAGTGGCATGTGATCCTTATAAATTTGAGATTGAAAAATATTTGCGCCTCGACTGAGACGTACGAAAAGCTTTATTGTTAAATTTAATAGTAAAAAAAATATTTTTTTTTTATTACAAATTCTTTAATTTTTATTTTTAATTTTTATTTTAAAAACATACGATGTCTCGATACTTTTTCGTTTCATATTAGCGAAGTTACGGGAGGCAATTACGGCGAGACAATTTTCGTATCCAAATATACGATCTGATCTGGTTGTCTACCGAGTGTATACCGAACTCGAAGCGCGTAGGTATAACTCGATTTCCGGCCGTTTGTATGAAGATGGAATACTGTATGTAACATTACCGTGACCTCGTCCTGTGTATGTGCGCACGATGTCGAGTGTCTCGACGTGAACATACCCTGTTGAGGAAGTCCTCGTTGAACTCGGCCTCGGGCGCGAGCAGCAGCAGCACGAGCGCGTCGCGCGCCAGTCGCGGCAGTGCCGCCGCCAGCGCCGGCCGCGCCGCCGCGCCGCGCCGCGCGCCGTCGCCGCTGCCGCCCGCCGCCGCCGCGTCCAGCACGCCCGCCGCCGCCGCCGCCGCCGCCGCGCGTAGCGCCGCTAGCGCCGCCGCCTGTTGCTCCGACAGCGCCTCCGGGCCCGACACTATCACCTGCACGTTTGTTATAATTTCTTTGAGATTGAAGCGTGTTAAAGTGATATTTTGATTTATTCGAAGGTTTTTTTAATGTAGAAAATTAAAAATGAAATTATTATAATAATTATATTATACTAGGAAATACTCTGAACAGAGTAACCGAAGATCGTGACCTTGGCGTCACGCTAGACTGCAAACTGCACTTTAACCTTCATGTTGACAAAAATTTTTAGCTAAAGCTTTTAAGCGTTTAGGATGAACCCTGCGTCTAAGCGAACCTTTTACTCGAGGTAATGCACTAAAAATACTATATAACGCCTATGTGAGAAGCATCCTCTAATTCCGAATTGTCGTCTGGAGTCCTCAATATATTGTACACATCTAAGGAATTGAAAAAGAGCAACGGAAGTTCGTGAAGTCTCTGGACTATCTTATTGGTTTTTATTATACCGACTACGAGGATAGTTTGACAAGACATAATATGCAGCTTTTGCACTCCAGACGTAATTATTTAAATACCATATACTTATACAAAATTGTTAATAACTATGTAAACTCCACAGATTTATTAAACCTCATCTTTTTGCAAATTCCCCGCTCCTCTTCCTTTCGTTCCAAAGATACATTTCATATACCTTCATATCACACTAGGTATGCAAAAAATACCTTTCTCAGGCGTTCTTGTTCATTCTATAATAATAATTTACAACTTAAACCGTCACATTATTCAAAGTATTAATAAAAGTGTAATGGTGTGTGTGTGTGTGTGTGTCGGTGGCGCGGCACTGACCACGGTGAGCTCGGTGTTGGCGTCGCGGCGGCACACGGCCTCGTAGCGGCGCAGGAAGGCGGCGGCGGGCGCGGCGGCGGCGGCCGGCAGCGCCAGCACCGCGTGCACGCGCGCGCTCTCCGTCACGTAGCGCGCGGGCGCCAGGCGCGCGGCGCCCAGCGGCCGCGCTGCCTCCGCCAGCCGCAGCGCGCCGCCCACGCGCAGCAGCAGCCGGTAGCGCAGCGCGCGCGGCGGCGCCCAGCGCCACGCGCCTTCGGCCAGCGCCACGGTGCCGCGCGCCACGCCCCAGCGAGCCGCCGCCCACGCGCGCGCCGCGCGCAACACGCGCGCCACGGCGGTGCGGTGCGCGCGCGGCAGCGGCGCCGCCGCCTCGCGCGCGCCCAGCAGCAGCGCGTGCGTCTCGTTGAAGCGCGTCCAGCTCAGGTGGTCGAACCTGCCGCATTATATTCATTGCTTTTCTATTTTACTTTAACTTATTTTAAATATTATATTAACTCTCTATGCCACTCTGCCACGTTTACGATAATACTAAGAGGATTCTTAAGTCAGTTCGAGTCGCATATAGAAGAGTGAGGTAACGGCGTGTGACCTGGTGGCGGGCGGTGGCGGCGCGAGGCCGGCGTCGTCGCGCAGCGCGCGCGGCCACGTGGCGTTGCGGAAGCCGCGCGGGTGGCGGCGCGCGCTGAGCGCGGCGGCGGCGCACGGGAGGAGGCCCCGGCGGCGCGCTGCAGGCGCACACGCGCCACGTAGGCGTGCAGGCGGTGGAAGTCGCGCGGGTGGAGCGCAGGGTGCGCGGCCACGGCGTCGGCCAGCGCGGGCCGCAACGCGCCGGCGGCAGTGCGTGCGGCGTAGCGCTGGCCCTGCGCGGTGGCGGCGCACGGCAGATGCGCGGCGTGCAGCACGCAGCGCCCGATGTTCTCGTGGTGCTGCGGCGAGTACGAGTTGCGCACGCACCAGTCCAGCTCGCCGTGCACCGCGCGCAGCACAGAGTTCGACAGCAGGATGCCGCCCTCTGCGCACCCGACACCATATTGCAATTACACCACTTGCACTTATAGAAGTTGAAATGTTTAATAATATATATGTATATTATGGTTCTTTACAATAAACTAGACTTACCTTCGCTTCGCTCGGAAGCGCCCCTAGGTACCGGTACGTTTTAAATACGTATGCTATTGCGGACTTTTCTGTAGACCTACAATTTTCTAGTACATACAATGTATCTCTTAAAAAACTCTACAAAAAGCTATCTATAAATACACGGTTATGTAGATTCCATTTTTTTTCAGCCATTAATTACAAGTCATGAAGTCACGAGAGTCATTTTTGCTTTTTGATTACGATACGGAACTCAAAAATATAGCACTAAGTATATTTTTATCTTCACGTTTTTCCTCTTTCGAGATAGGTCAGTGATGTATGCCAAAATGCCACGCGTCGGCTCCGCAGGACATTCATCATATATTCCAAGAAATGTGATAAAACGAATAACAATGATAACAATGTACTATAACAAAGTACTCACCTAATGTACAGTAATGCGTGTCATCGTCCGCCACTGTGCCCATATAGAGATCCTGACTAACGCTAAGCTTCGACACGAGCTCGAGCAGGCGGTGCGCGTTCACAAACGACGTGTCGGAGATAAGGAAGAAGAAGTCATATTCCTCCAAGTAATTGTCTGCGAGATACTTGAGTGCGTGGAAGGGTTTCAGCATCTCCCTGGTGTCGGTGAAGCCGACGACGTTGGCGCGCCCCGGCGCGGCCTGCAGCGTGCTGGCCGTGATGAAGAACCGCAGCGCGGGCAGCAGGCGCGCCGCCGTCTTGTTCAGCGCCGCGGCGCGCGTCTCCAGCACTTCCTCAGAGCTGAGAACACCTGGAAATCATTTTACATTATGTTACTTACATTACTGATGCTAAAAATGTTTGTATATTATAATAACATATCAATCAAGTGGTCGATAACTACAGCCTATAATTTTACTTACCAACTTCGACGAGATGGTATTAAATATGTACTTAAACTTTAAAGACTTTGTAAGTCTTTGCTAATTGTAAACCAATTTGTGATTTTTTCAATAAGTTTTACCACACCATAACCTGATATTTGAGTCTGATATATGTACATATGTATGTACACTTGAAAAAATCACATACTAATAGTGGAATAATTACTAACTCATAGAGTATTATATAACATATTAAAATTATCTATGTAAACAAAAATGAATCACCAAAAAGTATGTACACGCATAACTGCCGATCGAGTGCACCAAATTGGATAATAAATTTCTTTTTTTGTGTTTGTTATTGTCAGGACAAGTTTTGTATAGAAGAAGATTAAAAGAAATTTTATTTACTAAAATAGGTTTTTTTTTAAATCTCATGATATGAAAAGTGAGTGAGTGAAATAGTTTTTATCCCGGAAATCATGACTTAAGAGGGTGAGAATGGGGATGAAAGTTTGTACGGGAAGCAAGCTATGGACGAACCCGAGCGAAGCGACGGTGAGTCTCTAATATTTTAATAAATATTACCATGAAGCTACACAGTTAATGATTATAGAAAATATATGCTTGAATCACTTTCAATTATCCCACCCACAATCTAATGGCCAATTAGATTGGGGACTGCAGTCCGCAGCCCATCAAATTTTATTTTAAAATGGCCAATATTGACTTGTTACTGTTAAAACCTGCATACATATTCTTACTGATTATGCAGAACCATTAAAAGATAACAAATACCTATATAAAAACATCAAATAATAAAAAGATTGTTGTTGTTGTTTTTATTGTTGTCTGGTTTTTAAAAAAGTGTCACAATATTATAAGCTTACTTCCCAATACAAACTTCCATTCCCATTTTCACCCCCTTAAGGGATGATTTCGCGGATAAAATGTATCTTATGTCCTTTCCAAGGTCTCAACTATCTTCTTACCTAATTTCATCTAAATCGGTTCAGTAGATCCAGAGTTACCCCCTACAACGTCACAAGCTCACAAACTTTAGCTCTTTATAATATTAGTATAGATAAATATTATAAAATTCTGAGTCAAATCTGTACATTAAATATTCTTCGGAAAATTTTATTGAAATAGTCATTATTATCGATACAAAGGCCAAATCTACAGTTTTTTAAAAATTTTGTCTGTCTCTCTTTAAATATTTTATATTAAAAATATAATTACTTTGATCAATATCAATATTTTTAACATGAAAAAAAAACAATACTTATATTTGTTTATATTACAGAAGTTACATTAGAAACAGACATACCAATTACTTGGTGGCGAAAAGGCTAAAATGTAATACTAGAAGCAACTTTCACCTGAGGAAGTGGAGATACATATATAAAATAAAAAATTGTAAATACTACATTCTCATATATATTTACAATTTGCTTATTTTCCAATTTAAAAAATAATTTTATGATATCTATCTTTTTTTTGTTACCTGCAAGTAAACCACCACGCATTCCTAGCTCAGTACTATAGTATCTAGGGCGTTGCACGCTGCGGCCGGACTGGCCTGCGGGCCCCAACGGGCGTTCCTCGCGCTGCGGCTCGAAGTCATCAGGCGTCGTCACCGTGGCCGCGCCGTCGCAAGCCGCCACGTCCTCTTCCAGTGGAACCGTCGCCAGCGCCAGCCATAGCCCAATACCTAATCCCACAAGGAAGTACGAATTGTGCTTCACTTGGGATACCACGTAGCGCGATAACATCTTGCAGTTTTAGCATCACATCAACATTCCAATTTATAATTTTATCTGATTACACTAAGTAAATGTTAACGTTACCAAAAATCGAGCTAAATTACTTAAAACTAGGAATAAACTATTAATTTACAACCTAGTTTAATACTTAAAAGTTATAGACTTATATTGATAATTGAACTGAACAGACATGCGACAGAAAAGAGTGAATTCAGTCTCAGAATATAATAAGAAAAACTCATAGTCAAAACTAGGGATGGGACATTTCACGAGTAGCAAGTGAAAAATCACGTGAAATGCGTAATCATGCGTCACACCTGCTACTTAAATTCATAGTGGCTGCTACAAATCACAACTTGGTGAAATCTAGAGCTGTAGCAAACCGTATGTATTCGTTACTGAGTAACGGGTACGCTATCTAGTACCGAGTACCGAAACGTTACTCACGAATGCATTTCGTTACTCGCATTTTCCGTATACATTTTCGTACTGATGTTTTTATTGATTTTTTATTCAACAAAATACAATTTTCAGTTAATACCGTTGATCAGTAAATTGGGGAGTTTATTTATTTCGAGTTGCATGATTGCGGATTCTTAGAAATATTGTTTAGAAATAATTTTAAATTAGAAACAACAATTAAATTTAGAGCACATTTTTAGTTTTTTATCCAACAAATACTTATAATTTTTACTGAATGATTATGTGTAATACGTACAGACATAACCACCAACGCTGAGAACGAGTTAGAAATGTTTATTAATGAACCAATGCTTCCGCGCGATTCTTCGCCATTAGTTTGGTGGAAATCTCACTCCTATATGTACCCCAATTTGGCGGAAATATTTCATGAGCACTGTCACATCGTGGTGACATCAGTGGGGTGTGAGAGAGTATTTTCAAAAGCGGGAAATTTTGCAACCCAAAAAAGAGCACGATTAAGCAGAAAACGAACAGCGGAACTTGTATTTTTAAAAAGCAATGAAGACTATTGTATATAGATATCTCATAAAAAAATCAATCATCAACAATCAAAAAGCAAAAAAAAATGATTATAAACAAATTAAAAAAATTAAGAAAAACAAAAAAAAGTGTATAAAATTCTTTTATAAAAATTCTTATTGTACATAAAAACAATGAACTTTTAAATACGCCAATGTAATTATGGAACTTAGCTTAATACAATTTTACCGTGTGATTACTCTGATATATTTAAAATTCATTTAATTTTACATTGTCAGTCCCAAGCCTGTAGAAGTATGAGGGAAAGTTCATTGTTTGAAAATAGGTTCATTCAAAGCACCATGTACGTATGCAACTACGTCAGATCTATATCTCTGCTCCATATCACATCAGTAGCGCCATTGGTGACATTTCATACTTCATTTTAATAGCAAATAATATAAAGTGTGACACCAGACCGTCGAAATCAAAAATCTATGCGTGAAAAGTAGCAGGTGAAATCACGTGAAAAATTGTTGTAATTTCATCACGTGATAATGATTTAAAAGTAGCAATCATTTCCATGCTTAGTCAAAACTGTGTGACAGTCTTGACAGTGTCAACTGTCAAGTGTCAACTGACAGTTGACACTTGACACCATGGATGACAAATAAAGATTGACAATGTCGAACAGTCACCAGACTAAAAATAAATTCAGAACGTTAGATAAGAGACACACAAATACACACTCACACATTTATCTTGGAGAGGATCACTTCCATTCAATGTTTACGCAGAATCTTTTTGTTTTTTTATCTCTTTTGTTTGAATTTTATTTTTTTGTTTTAAATATTACTTTGGCATGTCAAGCAATGTCTTTTTCTGGAGGGATTTGGCGCTGCTAGCTGAAAATTACACGTTTCCTAGTTCAGCTACAGATGCTTCATTCACCTTAAAACGATATTGTTTATTTGGCTAAATTATTTTGTAATTTTTTTTGTAAAAATTTTTTGGATAATAAAATTATTATTATTATTAGTAAGCCTAAAGTAATCCAGTGATTTGAGCCATTTCAAATGTTCTGAGGAAAAAATAGAAACCAGAGTTATAAAAAGTTAGTTATTTTTAAATAAAACTATGTTTTCGGATTATTTCGCGGATTTATTTTGATTTTTGGTTCCCGACGTTTCGAATGCTTTACAGCATCCATGGTCATAACATTTTAAAATTGTAATAACTATAAAAATAATAGCAAAAATTGAATAAATAATATTCCATATTCAATTATAATTAAAATTATAAAATGTTTAAAGTTAAAAAATATTGTAATGTAATTGGTGCAATTTTCATTTTGTTAATTGTGGGTAGGCTGTCTGTAACAACTATACCTTCAAGACATGTAACACCTCAGTCTCTCCCGTGACCATGGATGCTGTAAAGCATTCGAAACGTCGGGAACCAAAATCAAAAATCCGCAAAATAATCCGAAAAGATAGTTTTATTTAAAAATGTCTAACATTTGCGTAAATCTAAGAAAGTATTATAAGGCTCAGTTATAACCATCGATCTATACTATACTACTTGATATCGGGTCGGCGTAAGAAATCCGTCTCGGTAAATATAACCTCACTTGCAAAGTGAGCGTATATTTCGATTAGTTCTATTGAAACACTGCAATGAGTGCAAGCGTAAATACGTTCACAACGCCGCAATATGTATTTTAATAGTTGCAAAAATAATGCGCGAAGAAAAAAATTTTCATACGGAGTATCTTATTTTCGGTAAACTTGATTTTTGTTTAATCTTTTAATTTAGTTTTCATATAATTCAAAACCCCAGACGTTTTTGTCGGTTATAAAGTATTGCCAAACCCAGGGCCGTGCCTGACGGGCGTTCATTGCGTGCACCGCACGCAGGCGGCCGAAATTAAGAGGCGGCCAAATCGTTACAAGTTGTTTACTGGGCAAAAATACAATCGGTTTGTTTTCATTAAGATACGAAGTAAAAACAGTTTCTCTAATCTAATCTATCTAAAAAGAGTTTCTCAGAAATAAGAAATGTATAAAAACTGATTAGGTCGTTGTAGTATTTATATACCTAGTCCATGAACGAATTAACCACTGGACCAGACATATAAGCGGACGTACCTTTAACGGTCATGTCTGTAACCAGGGAATTTTAGCCTAGGTCGTTTGTTTTTTGTGTCAGTCTCAAGCACTTACTTGTCAACAAAACATCTCCCAAAAATGACTAAATGTTCTGTTAAATGGTGTAAAAACTATAACGGCGGAAGCAGCACTATTTCTTTTTACTTGTAAATACATTATTTTATTACATTTATTGTTATTTATCACAAAATTTTTGGTTTTGGGAACAAAACCAATATTTTTTTTCGTTCTCGATTTCGGTTAACCAAAAACTGATTTTTTTCCCGGTTTGATGCCCTGTGTATAATAATAAACATTAAAAATTAAAGTAGTTTTTTTTAATGTTATCCTGGGGGCGGCCATACAGACTGGCACGCAGGCGGCCATATACCCAGGCACGGCCCTGCAAACCTCTCCAAAGATACTTTATTAAAATACCCAAAAATATACTTTTGGCAATCTGAAACTTTAATCACGTATTTATTGAGTAATTTTCAATACTTGCAAATAGCCAGACGAATTTACCGGTTTTAAACCATTTCCAGACGCAAATAAAGTTTATAAATGAGTACTCATTTGTAAACTTTATTACCAAGTTGCCAAAAATATGTTTTTTTTGGATATTTTTTTTGCAAATGTTATATACTGCGCAGTAACGAAATAACCGCTAACGCTATACCAGACTCGCGGGACTGGACTCGCCAATTTATGAAATTATATTTTTAACAATGTCAACTTGCCAAAAGGACCTTCCCAAAATTCGTCGCCAGCTCTCAGAATATAATTATTTCAAGGACAGGGCCGAATTACAATACTTTATGTATAACACTCGCGATTTAGCTTTGATTTTGTAATTTGTATGGGACATGTTATCTAGTAGTATTGTTGATTGAAGGTTATAACCTAGATCCCTTATGTTTCTACCGAATTTTAAGTGATTACAAAAGATTAACAAAGCTGTAAGCTTAATAAGTAACATTTTCTTTTTGTAACGACTTCATATAATTATAACAATGACGGTTTTCTAGCTTAAATATTTCATGAACTTTTTCAGTTTTTTTTTTTTTATATAATATATCTTAAGATTTTGGTTTTTTGTTATTAGTTTGTTTAATTTCTCGTGTTTTAGTGCTTTATTTATTTTAGTGAGTATAAGTAGCACTATTTTTAATATTTACTTATAATATTTATTTATGAAATGGAATGAAATTAAACTTTATTCAAGTAGACATAAGTGTGTTTACAAGCACGTATGAATCGTCAATTTAATTGATATTTAACTTTCAATAGGATGACATGGGTTTAACTTGGATTATGGCAAGTGAAGCACTTAGAAGGCTAAGGCGTTTTTAGGGTTCTTTGGCCATGTCCGTCTGTCTCTATGTAACAGTAATTTTTGAGAAAAGAAAAGAGATAATAATAGTATAAATACTTTGTGATAATTTCTTGGATAGATATAGTACCTACCTATGTTTTCTGTTTCATGCATTCGACCGCAAATATAATTAAGTGCCTATTTAGCATTATTACATCATCTTAACGAATACACATGAGATATAATATTATGGCACTTGTTATTACTTAAATATGTGTGATGGCAAAATCAACATTAATAAAAAAGCTGACAGAAATAAAGCGTCAGTTTTGGTAAATTAAATATTTATTTTCATTATTTATGCACATCAACGATGACGATTTAGATAAAGTGGTTCCAAAATGTTTAAAGAAAATGTACATTGCTGAAGTAATATATATTACTTTTTTTATAGCTTAAGACTAAACCTAACTTCCGGGAGACCCAAAGAGACTACCAGGTAAGTTTGAACTGCACCTCCAGGTAAATTTCTAAGAAATTAATTAAATTTCTAAGAAATCTATTGTTAAATATTAACTTTAACGCCGGCCTGTCCGCGGTCGTGG